TTTCACTGAGAAGCAGCATGAAACTGGGAGTCAGAATACGCTGTGGAGCTTCACCTCTCCGTCCTCGTCCATTAGATTAGAGCTGGCTGGCTGTGACCAGCCGCTGGAGCAAATTGTCAATTACGATGTATATTGTTGAGCACACAGCCGACTCCGTGGCCTTAGGGGAAGGGGTGGAAGCTACTGAGGAGACATGCCTTAAACTCCCTGCGCCTCCCCCCCCTCTTCGTCCTCACTCGATTCTTCCTCCAGGCTAATTTTTGGTGGCTGGTCTGTGTGACACCTGCCACTGAGCTTAACAGAGATTAACCATTTCCCCATGGATTTCCCCTGGGAGATGCAGGAGAAGGGAGGCCTCTTTAATAATAGTCTGGATGCTCTGAGCCTCAGAATATGATGGCACAAAAAGGTGGCCATGAGAAAATGTGAACAGGCCAATATCAGTGCTCAGTGTAGACCAAATATTCTCCTTCTACCGGGTCAAACGTTCTCTTTCACCGTGCAATCAAACTGACAGTAAATGTGACGAGAAAAAAACTTCAAAGACCAAAATAAAATTACAAGATTTTGAGGTTTTATTCACATATACAGTACAAACATTCACTTTGTATTTGTTACTGAAGTGCAATTTACAGACCTTAGCAGCAATTCTTCATAGACTTTAATTTACATCTTAATTAGACATTTTAGAATCTCTTTCACATCTTTGTCAACTTTGTCTTTTATACTTTTTCTATTTTTTTTTTTTACATATGTACACTGTTTGTAGAATATTGCCATTCAGACACAGCCTATATTTATTATATCTCTGAAAATAAATGTGTGAAAATCTGTGTGATGGCTAATGAAGCCACTATCGAACATGGTGCAGAAACCGTGACAAACGTCGACAAAGCAAGTCTGAATATGTGGCTTCTCAGACAATTTAAATGTGCAGCGCGATGCGATGAAGGACCAACTCTGTGTTCTGACACACAGACGGCGTTTACACAAAATCCGAGATTTGAGTCTGCTGCATTTTTTAGCACAGGTAAGGTCTAACAACTGGAGGGCTCTCACTGAAACTGCCATTAGCCTAGCTTGGATTACCAATGTTGCATTAGTTACATTAAATGTGAGCACATTGAAGAGGACCTCTTATGCTTTTCTGTAATGGATGTGGATACTTTTCTAGTGGTTGATACTTGTATTAACCCTCTCAAGGCAGGCGTTGCAGATTTGCAACAGTTAAAAGCTAAAAACCTGATTACCCCACATACATATAGTTTTACTCAGAAGTACCACTGCAGGTATTCTTTTGTGCATTAGCCAGAAAAACTTAATTTGAGCCTGAGAGGGTTAAATGTGGCCAAAGTTTTAAATACCAGGTTAAGTAATCCTCAGGCTCAATATCCTGAACATCGTTTTGTATAAAACTGTTTCAAACCTTCCAAATTGAACTTAAGACGAGACATCAAATGGAGTCGAACTAGGGCCGAGCTGATACTGATTTGTACCACAAGAAGGCGTCATGAGTAAATGTAGCCTTCATTTTGCACGTTCTTCTTACCCCGCAGCTGTAAAAGGCTGATGACTGAGTATTGTTGTCACCCCGTTGGCCAATATGGACCCCCAACTTTGTGAAGACGATCAGTGGAGAAAAGATGTCACCTACGATTTTCACTTGCTACCCGACCGTATCTGCTGAAATTTTTGGACAAGTTTGAATCTCAGTCCGGTCTTTAAGTCTAACGTCATTAGCCGTGTCTGGGCCCAAACTCTGCTGCAGGTCCCGAAGTCAAACGATCACTGCAGCATCACTCAGAGTTGAAAAACTGTCTAAATTCTTTCATCTCTAATAAAATGATCAGCGTTCCTGCTCTACCAGGCGTAACAATTAAGTTTAACATCCAGGCATCCATGAAAACAGAATTTATGAAGTTTAACGGAATTCAAAGTTAGCATGGAGTTAGCTCGCTAGTTTCCATCTTAACATAATATAAAATGTTCTGACAGAACATTCTGAACATTTCTGAAACAAATTAAGACGTACTATCACTTCCCACATAAATGAAGACAGGAAAGTAAACAGCAGTGATGTTTGTAGGGTTGGGCTAGCTGGTATATAAATGATATGCTACGTGATCGCTAGCGACACAGCTATGTTAGCAGAATATAAACAGGGAAGCTGGAGGATGAACGCTAACGAACGGATTTATCCACTCGATAAAAGTTAACATGAGCGTTCACAGTGGTTAGGGACAAATGCAATCACATGACAGGATGCTCCAAACGGACCAAACGTCAGTCAGGAGAACCACCGAGCTAATCCATCAATAGGAGGCTAGTCATTCATATACTGCTGCTGCATGGGCTGGGCTGTAGTTGCATCGTAAGGTTTTGAAAACTGAGCTTTAAAATGATCAGCAGTAATAAAAACCGAGGGAGGCACAACAGTCTTATTAAATGCAGAGTAGTTTGGGCCCGGAAGCAGGGTTCATCACGCCATTCAGTCTTTAAGTCCACTTAAAGACTGGATGACCTCGACCTCAACGTCAAGGTCAGAGGTCAAGTTTTCTGAAAATCTTGTTAACGTGATAACTTGAGAAGGAAGTTACCTATGATTGGAGCATTTTGAGGATATGGGTGTAGCCAGAAGGACAAGCTAAACATCAGCATGCATCTGAAACACCTCAGCACAGCCTGGGGTAAATCGCTGCCCCCTGGGGGTGAAAATTCAGCTTCAATTCTGCAGAGGGTATTTCCAAAAAGGAGCTTTAACGGGAGAGGGGGTAGAATGGCTTATTTCAGATAACAACGGGCTGCACTTAGTCCCAGATTAAGATAAAGATAGAATGGAGTGTGGCTAATGCAAAGCAACTCTAGTCAGAAGGAAGAATAAAAATACAGAAATGAGCGTAACAGGTCCATATGAAGTTTAATCTATTAAAATTGCCATTACTAAAGCTGGATTTATACCCAATGACACAGTTTTCACTCATATTAAGACTTAAAATTTGTCAAGAAACTTTTTTTAAAAACTCAAGTTTGTCTTCTCTAACATGTAAACACACATCTGGGGCCTCACGGGGACTACAGGAAGCGCGACTGACTGCCTGCGTTTTCTCACCGTTTGGACAACAGCAAAGATGAATGGCCGCATTCTTAAACATCTAACAAAGCGATTACGCTGCTCACAACAACAGCTGCTGGCATGAATGAAAGAATGTGAATACAGTGACTCCACAGAGGTGGTGATCACTAAGAGTCACCTATAGATGGCAGCTCCAGTGCTATTAATCTTCATCGCAAAGTCCAATCACAACAACACCCAGTCACTCAGTGCTGCACAGGTGATCATAATAAATCCAGCTTTAGGGAGCAACATAAACCCTGAGGCCTGGTCTCTCAGGCAGGGGTGCATGATTAGGTAAAAGGGGGATGTCACACAGTGTGTTTGAGTGAAAACTGTCCAGTTTTAAAGCATTTTGTTGAACACATTTTTATGTGGAGAATCACTTCTGCAGCTTTTTAAAATTTCAAATGTAAGAAGAAACTCTTCCACATGCAGTTTTTGTGTAAAGCCGCCTGTGTGTCCAGTCGCCTGATCTCCAGTAAAGGCTTAGCTCTCCAGCTTTGACACTGTAATGCTGCCAGGACAGGGGCTCACAGCAGGGGCAGGACAAAACACAAGAGCGACCACTAGATGTCACTCTCACTACTCTGAACTGGGCCGCACCGCTACCTTGACTAAAGAGAAAAACAGCAATGACAGAGCAATACGAAGACTATAAACATTTAACTGATTTAAAAGGAGAAAAAAAAGGAACAAAAACCACCTAAAGTGCTGCGTTCATGAAATATGCAAAGACATAAAATAGTGTGAGGTGCAAATTTACAAAAAGAAACAAAACAAACTTCCCTCCAGGGTGGTCATGACCACAGAATGACAGCTTGCTCGGGTCATCAAGGCTTCGCTGATGACTCGCCTCCATAAGCAGCTGCTATTGGTGGCGACAAGATTAGCGATTAAGATGCGTGGAAACGGGCATGAAACCAGGTGGAAAAAAAACGAAACAAAACAAAAACTCAGGTCAGGCAGGTCAAACGACAAAAGAAGGAGAGTAAATACACCACTCCCCCTTCTCCTCCATCACTCCACGCACTCAGGGCGAGCTGTAATGGCTGCGTTTATGTACCTCGCTTTCTCTTTTTACCCAGAGGGGTGAAGATGAGAGGAAGGGAGGGATGGGGGAAAAAAAGGGTGGTGTATTAACCTGTCCTCGTGTCATGTTAAACTCCAAGCGTGGCGGGGAGAGGTGAGGAGGTGGAGGCAAGGGAGGAGACAGAAAAGAGGGCAAAGGAGGGAGCGACGGAGAGTCAAAGGGTGAGTTAAGAGGAGGAGGACAGAGATAGAACGAGAAAGAGAGAGAAAGGTGAGCTCTGAAGCGACGCTCCGTCCTTCTTTTTCCTCACTCATTCTTCCCTTCCTCTTTCTCTATCACCCGTCACTCTGACAGGGCCGGTAATTGGACGAGGACCTCTCCCTCTCTTTTTTCCCTCTGCTTCTGTCTGTCTCGCTCTCTCCCCCGTGGCTCTACTCCTCAGCGGGAGCCTTGGGGCCCGGAAATAGCTGATGACAAGATAGTGGCTGCCTTTCATTCCCGCTCAAGGTTACCCCACCCTTCCCTGACAGCCACAGAAGAGCTTGGGGGTGGTGGTGGTGGTGGAAAGGGGGGTCACATTTAGGTGGGTGTTTGCTTAAACTCGTGTGTTTGTGTGCTTAAAGAACACCAACTCCACCCTCGTGTCCCGTTTCTTTTCAGCCGTCCAGTCAACCTTCCGCCTGCCGTCCTGGGTGTACGTGGAGAATGAAATGCAGACACACACACGCATGCTGGGCTGACAGCCTTGAGTTTAGAGGTTAAACTGGGTTGTGAAACATAGACTCATTG